TATGATCAGTAAATGATGAATCATTCCAGAGTTGCGTTATTTGAGAGTTCGTTGTTTGGTGCCTTTTATATGATGAGTATGGTACTGGGGTGCATTTCATATAAGAAGAAGGGTATACGTAAAAATATAGATAGCGGTGGGATGACAAACTGTCAGACAGTAGGAGATGGATGTCAAGAAAGTGACGAGTTTGGCGAATTCAGGAGAATACTCCTGAAAATGATCACCAGATCTAAAAGAATCAATGGCCAGTGAAGCATTTGACGTAGTTGGAGTAGTTCCTGATATGAATACAGAACATTCAAGATACGAACTGTGAGTTAGTGCTTATATTCAATTGACATTGCCCGTCACGAAATCCACGTTACCTATAAAGCAGTGCCCACATTCACCCTCTTTCATTAAATATTGTATATCAAGAATATTAGCGTCTTATTCCCTGAGAGAAAGAGGCTCATCAGTTGGAGGGCAAACAATGTATTTTGTCATACGAAACCAGAAGTAGTTGGATCGTTTTTTTTTGGAACGTGATTGAAACCCGTGATGGAACCCAAATAAATTTCATGATTTTGATTGGAGAATATATTTTGTATCCTGGATGTGGGCAGAGCTATGCTTATCAATGGTAACAGATAGTTTTTGTGCCCTCTAAGAAGTCGTGTCAAAATCACGTCTCTCAGTATGATGGTAAGTAATTGGCTCTACATTCTACATTTTACTTGATTATATGAGATTTTCTCTCCTCATTTCAATAAAATAAAAACATGAGTATTATTTCGATATATTATTATGAGTAGTAGGATGAATCAGATGATTTGCCTCAGAATGTCACTGCGTTTAACAAATTTTCTTCAGCAGGAAGCCTAAAAGAGGAATCCAAGAGCTTGTCAGTGACACACTACACACAGAAAAAAAATTTCTTCGAATGAGAAAACCCATTCTCTTGAAAATTCAATTGTATATCTTCTTTGAATTGAGCATATTCTTTTGAGTCGAAAAATCTGGTATGTTCAAGAAAATAGTGTCATATTATTGAAATATATTCTCAAACCGAGAATGTAATTATTGAATTACTAAATTAATTACTTCAACTCAATCAGAACGATTTTTCAATTCGCAGAAGCGTACTATTTTGTTTCAATAAATTTATTGCTTGATCCAAGAATATAAGTATATACATTTCTTCAAATCAAAGAATGTCCATTTCATCGAATGACATATTCAGTTTTCTTGAACTGCAAAAACCTGATATGTTGAGGCAATACGTCATTTTCTTGAAACAAAAATATAAATAATCATTTCTTCAAATGAAGCATTCTAATTTCATCATATTGATATTATAATTCCATCAAATCGAAGACTCCTGATAGTTTTATTCTATGCCATATTTACTTGATTCAAAGATATGAATATCAATTTTCTCAAATGAAAGGAATATAATATCTTCCACTTGATGATATCAATAATTTCTCTAATTGAAGAAGCAACATTTTGATTCAATACGTTATATACTTGATTAAAGTCTATGAGTAGGTATTTCTTTAAAAGAAAATAATATGCCCTCGGAAATCAAGGGTGAGCAATCCTGTTGCCAAAACTCAGGCCTCAGTCTTCAATCATTATTGACCATGCTCACATCATTATGACTACGACAGGCCCACACCGGCGAAACGGCATTAAGCTGCGAAGTTCGAGAATTCTGAATGTTTTATCGAGTGTGTATAGGAGGAAATGTCTTAGAATATAAATATCTAACAAATGCTGAACTTGTAGAGAGCTGGCGAAGGAATAACATTGTATTCTCTTGGTAAGTAGGTACCTTTGCAAATTTCGGTAGTCATTGTGAGTGAATCAACAACTTTTCAATCAAAATAACAGGAATTTAGTAGTATCCTGCTATGAAAATATGCTTATTAATTTATACGAAATTCTTTTGAAAGAAAAAACAAATTCACAAAGTCGGTCGACCACAAATTATATTACAATTGCTAGTGTGACTAGTTTCGGCTAAACAGCCATCTTCAGACAAAATTAAATAGAGTACCTGTAAGAAATGGAATAACAGACGAACAATAAGTTTGCTGAGGAAAAAACATACCTAGGCCATGTGGTAATTACAAATTCATCAAAAAATTGTTTTTTAAGCGGTTATATCAGCGTATAAATATAATCAGTCCGGTAAGGGGGTGATTAAATTTTTATAGCGGCTGAACAGCCAAAAGAACCTTATAATCATGAGGTTCAACATTGGCACGAAAAAATTTTAAAGATATTTAAATTCACTCAACTGAGTTTCATCTTGAATGGCTATTGAAAGACAGAAATCCAACAATCGCCAAGGTAAGCAAATGACAATGACAGCATGACAAGACTGAATGACAGTGACAATTATACAAACTAAATGACATGACAAAATCATCATAAGGTACAGAATACTATTTGGCAAAATAACAAATAATTGCAAAGGAAACAATAGGTTAATTAAATAATCTCCTTGTAACAAAATTTTTTCTTTGAAAAAATCTGGACCACTTTGAGAAGGATGGATGGTTTCCATGACTGAAATTCTTTTGTATAGCAAAATGACGACTGGTTGATAAATGAAGAAGTATTATCTACAAATGACTTGCGAAGACTTGAAAGAACCTTGACATTAGGTGAGAGAAAGTTTCCTGCCGAGTATCTCGAATCTATATACCCGATATCGTCCAGAAGGGATCATGATATTACTGGAGTCACGATATTACATATTATAGAGGTGAGTTTTTGATCAATCATAATATTTATGTCATTTTTGGTGACCGTTATCATTTCCAGCGAAACTTCAAGAAGACGAAATCAAGGCATGTGATTATTCTATAACCATTTGGGGTCTTGATGGACAATACTGATCCAAGATGTACATACCTATACATGGGATAATTGTCAACTAAAGAAACAAATATATATTTCCTCACGATTATTCTGTGGAGTTTAGTTATCTCATTAGGAATCATTCACAGTTTTGAATCAAAAACATCATTATATTTTTATCCAAGCAGTCAATATTTTGATACAAGAAAATAGTCCCATTGGAGAGAATGAGCTTAGTATTTATTATAAAAAACTCATAAATTCGAATCGAAAATATCAATGTGTTCATTGAAAATTTACGGAATTTTGACTTAAATAAATCGTTCATTTTGAAATGAAATAGAACAATTCTCAATAATAGTAATCCATAGTTGCAAATTGAGAAAATGATTGTTTTCATTTGGTGGATGGATTGCATATCCCAAAATTATGGTGTTCCTGAAATAAGTAAATGGTTTTGTCAATATGAATTATTTCAATTCTCACTTCAACATAACAAACGTCTCCAACCATGCATATCTTGATTTCCCTACAAGAGAGTTGTTGAATAAATCATTGTTTCGGAACAAGAATATCATCTCTTTCGTTATATACAAACAAATTATTTTCTTGGACCAATGCAGTCATGCTCAATACAAGAGATTCTTTTTTTGTGTGATATTTTGAAAAAATGTTTGAAGAGAAGAAATATAGATATATTATAGAAATTTCGAATTTTTACCTATCTTTAGACGTTTCGGGAACAAATCTGCTCCCGTTCTCAACATGAAAATGCAAGAATGATATATTTTCATTTTATATAAACGAGGAGAGAAAATCCAGAATAATCAAGTAAGAAAAAAGATGGTTAGTGCTATTTCCGTTACTATCACCGCGACTATCAGTGACATAAATGATAGTTTATATCAGTTCAAGAAACTCTCTGCTTGTGTAAAAGGCTTGCAGTGACGTTTATAGGAACAGCGGTCGGAGACAACAGAACGCCTGCGCCCACTCGACAAGTCAGTCGTCAGCCGCCGTTTGCCATTGCCGCTGTTGGTTCTTCTGAAGACGGTGCATAAGACATTTATTTTTCAATGGTGAAGTGTGCAAGAATCACGTTTGTTGAGTCATGTATATAATAAAGGGGTGGTATCATCTTCACAGCAATACGACATTCCACATTTGATGACAATCTGCGAGGATAACTTCAATATACGTGTAGGTATAGGTATCAATTTCGAACAGGAACGAACTCAGGACTTTCTAAATTTTCGTAACATAGTTATACTGAGGTTTTTTTCCTTCTCATCTCATCGGAAACTTGCTGAGAACCTTGATATCGATCATAACTTAAACGAGAACTATATACACATCACTTTCAAAGCATAAGGCCATCGTTTTATAAACCTGCACAACACATTCGTTCAACAGTGACGATTTGACCAGACGCATTCATTTGATAGGTATAGATAGGTAATTGTCCATTCTCTGTATATTTTTGTCTCACTTCTTGATTAGAATGATTAAAACAATAATAATTTGTCTCCTTCCTTCGTGTTTTCACATATACCTAACGATCTCGTGTCAAACGCAGAATTTATTGAAACCAGAAAATTTCTGATTGTCTTGAAATTCCGTTTGTTTTCGACAATGCCTGGCTGTGCAGAATGAAGATGTTTTTTTCTTCTCAAGCAAGTTCTATACATAATATGAATACGGTCAATGATCTCCATTTATCCAGTTATCTTTTAAAAACACGCAAAACTTTTTTTGGAATGATGATTTCACTATTTTCTCTATAGGTTTTCGGGGTTCCAAATTCAAGCACAGTGACATCCTGGAGAAGATGACGATGACAGCAAATCAGCGAAATCTTGGACAATTAATATTCCACCTCCTAGATCAAGCTTCAAACAGTAAACCTATTTGATGATTTTACTATGATGAAGCTGTTTTCATTTTATATCTATTATCTTTTTGTTATGTTACAATAGGATGACCAAGTTTCGATAAAAAATCCCTTTGTCTACCTAGTGTAAGAGTTCATTTCATTCCATTTATGGTAAGACGTATACCGTATTCATAAAAACCAAAACAAAATCTCAATAATATATTAAGTGAACTACATAAATGGGTTCATATAATGCAAAGTTGACCTAGTGTACTCCGTTTCCATGGGCTCAAATGATTTAGACCAGTTGTTGATATTGAACCGTTCTCATTTGGATTTTATGACAGCACATGTAGTGCCTCTTCAAGTGATACTTCCTCTTTCCTGCATAATTGCAAAGATGACAAGTGAATCGCGGGACTACTCCACATTCATGATTGATATGTTTGTACAGCGAAGTTTGGTGCTTGTAAGTCTTCTGGCATTTTGGACAACCATATCGTTTTGCCATATCTGTAACTCAAAAAGTTGTGATAATCTTTGCAATCAAAATGTCGTATCATCTTTTTATTTTTATGATAGTAAAACCAATCGCACGTGTAATATTGCAATCAATACACGAAGCACTTTTATTGTTTTTTTATTGGAAGGGGATTTGGGGTTTCCAGAACGAAGCATAAGATGAAATCAAGTTATATGTAGCGATCTCAGCAGTATCTCATGAGGAGCTTCGAGGATTAGTTGAGGACGTCATTCAGGAGTTTTGCAGCTGGTGTACCAGAAATGGATTGATTTTGAACTTGGGGAAAACTGAATGCATATACTTTCATTCACACAATGCTCCAAGCGATGAACTCTGCTATTTCTCAATATAAGAGACACTCAAATAACATCAACAACTTGTACAAAATTCCTAGGAGTCTATGTTGATCACAATCTGAGGTGGACTGATCACATAACGCACTTAGTGAAAAAACTCAATTCAACCTACTTTGCCCACAGATGCCTTATTGAATGTCTATTACAGCCTCGCATACAGCAATCTGACCTATAACATTGTCTTATGGGGCCAGTCTATAGATAGGCAGAAAATATTTGTTGCCCAAAAAAAAATCATAAGGAATATTTTTAACATGCATCCTTATGATTCTTGCAAGCAGATCTTTATCGAACATAACCTCATGTCTCTTCTATGCATCTACATATACAGAAGCCTACTGTATGTGAGAAAAAATGTATCCAAATATACCAGAAAGTCATCATTACATAATTACGAAACAAGACATTCTGACTTTTTATCTATCCCTAAACACAAAACCAAAAAATTTGAAAATTGCATTTCATGGTCCAAACATATTGAATCGATCAGAAAGAAAATATCTCCAGTAATCGGAGTACTCTACAGGATCAGACACCAAATCACTTTGAAATACTTGAAATGTATATATTTTTCCTTGGTTTATTCAAAATTACAATACTTGATTTCAGTTTGGGGTACAGCTAGATTATCAATCATGAAGCCAATCAAAATCCTTCAAAACAAAGTTATTAAATGTATATACAAACTAGATTACTTGGAACCAACAAGAAATCTTTATAAACCTAGGCAATTGTTAGATATAAACTCCATTTACAAATTCAAAATATTGAATTTCATCCATTCCGTCAAATATAATTATAAACATTCAAATCTGAATTTTAAAGTCAATAGTCATAAATCAGATATCGGTAAAAGATCTATTTTATACAATGGAACAATTCTCTATAATGAATTACCTGCCAGACTAAAGAAAAAATTAAGTGTTGAAAAATTCAAAAAAGAACTGAAAAAATACTTATGTCTTTGATTCTCTCCATGTCATCCTGAATCAATTCAAGAAATTATATTCAACAGTCTCTAGAAGAAACAACATTATATGTATTATGTATATGATTTAAAAATGATTATCTGATTATCTAATTTTTGTTTTTTTTTTTTAGTTGCTCTTTCATAATTTTCCCTGCTATAAACATGTATGTTTCTTGGGAATAATAATGAAGATAGTATATATGGGAATCAAAATGTATAACCATCTTGCAAGTAGCTACAAACTTCACAATAATAACCTCTTCAAAGAATCTGTTGAAGAACAACTGTTGAGGAAATGTTATTTCAGTATTTAGGAGTACTTCTCGGACAGAAACATATAATGTTAGATTCAAATCCAGTATAGTGACTGATTTTATGTTCAAGTGTCTCGTTCTGTCTGACTTATTCTATACATTGTAAAAATGTCCTACAGGATCATAAAATATTATTATCATTATTATTATGATATTTAATATGCTAATAATCAATATGTATGTATATATAAGCAATTTGAAAGTTAGTTTCGCTTGGTATCATAAGGACTGGTCAATACTGAAAACTTGATTTGAACGAATCTGAAATTGAATTTCATACCACACAACGTTGCCTATTAGATCGATGTAGGGTTTCAGCTAATCAGATTGTTTGAATTTGCATCAAAATTTGCCAGATATATCCTCAAAGAAATGTATTTGACTATCCAGAAACATTGTTAAAATTTTCATAGACGATATGATCTTTGTCTATCAATGGTAATACATTGACCGACCGACACATGATCAGAGATTCAGGGTTCTTCTAATAGAGCTAAAGCTTCAAAATTTGCATCATTAAATGTGTTTGACGATTGTTGAGAGTTATAAATTCTAATTTTTATAGCCTCGGCCAAAAATGATTCCGGACGATTCGCTGTTGCCTTCTAATTAAGGTGAAGTATAGAGTCAGTAACAAAGCCAACACAGAAAACACATGGCTGAAGGACCTCTCGTGAGGTCGATGGCCAGTTGATGTGTACATACATGTTCATACATGTCAACCAAATACATATACTAAACTACTACTCACGAACTGACATCTAAGTTTTTCGTAATTACGACTCTAGTTTGATATCAATCAGTGATGTGAAATAGGATATATGCAGAGCTGATTATAACGCATTTGAGATTTATATTCAGAATTCTAAATGAATATAGGTATCTATATATCGAAGACTGGAACCTTTGGCACTGTTAGCATCTAGCAACTATAGATGCGCTACTGCTCAGTGGAATGTGCTTAGATCAGAGCCTATGACAGACGTGTGTGAAGACTGGCTCATACACTGTTCGGCAGGCAGCCGAGTTAAGAGCAAGTGTAACCCTTGTCCATGTCATTTGTGCTCTTGTTTATTGAATTCTGACCATAATATAACATCCCTTGTTCATGTCATTTGTGCTCGTGTTTATTGAATTATGACCATAATATAACAGGCACGATAATACACTACACACTGTTGTACCACTCACCAAACCGATTATTTTAACACCTCGACACGTGTTTCGCTAACTATGTTAGCATCTTCAGGAGAAGATTAAAACAGTTTCAATCTTCTCCTGAAGATGAACATATTGAGCGAAACACGTGTCGAGGTGTAAAAAAATTGATTTGGTTAGTGGTAAAACAGTGTGTAGTGTAAACGTATTTATGTTTTCGTGATTTCCTTCAGAAACTGGTCTAACTCATTTTTTTACCCTACTTGAGGACTGTTATGTTATTGATGCTGGAATCAAGGCAATATATTCAATAATGAAAATGTTATTGAACATTATCTACTTATTGCGCGCTTTTGTACTCATTCACCCTGTAACTTCATAAAGTCATAAATGATGAAAAGGATATCTTAAAACAAACATTTTTAGTGAAAAAGGATATTTTTTTGAAAGCAGGGTGTTTTATCAGGAGACTCACATAACCAAATGTTGAATAGAGGAAACCAAGACGAGTTTATATACATTTTTTCTTTGCATTCATAACGGAGATACAGGATATTATGTAATTGTCATATATGTTTTATGGCCGATATTTCAGAGACCTCCCATCGAAATGTGATGAAATTTGCCAGAGACGTATATCTATGGAGATCAACTGAAATGGCTTACTACTGAAGAAAAATCCAAAACCGGTATTAATAAATTCATTTTTCCTGCGAATAGTGAAAGATAGATTTTTTGATCATTTTCCTCGATTTTTTGCCCAGATCCAGAAAGCTAAGTCATTTTTCACGTTCAATTCTTACGGCACACAGCATTTTTGTGGAATGTATAATATATTTTCTTCTTCTGATTGGATCCAAAGTTAATGATACATAAAATTTCTAACTCAAAAATAAAGATCTTTATTGAACCACCATTGAATTAGTGCTGAATGATCCCAATGAAATAATATTTGATGAATTTAACAATAGGTATAGAAAATAGATATTGAAGAAGTAAGTTAACAAACTTTTCGATTAGGTATCAGTAGTACATCTTCAATCGTAAAGAGTGATATTCTTACATGAAACAATTCATGATTATTATCAATATTTGAAAATTAGGTAGGTTATCGAATAACAAACTGCTCCCATTGTTCTACATTATGTTTCAGCATGTGACGTTTCAGGTTGCTTCTTCGGGTTACTTTCACACCACAATTCGGGTAACCACACCTGAAAGCTATAGTTTTACAGTCGTATCTTTCGTGCATGTACCTGGATATTTTCCTTTCATACCCTTTGCCACATTTCGAACATTCATGTTTCCCTAAAAAAAAATCCGTATCACAATTATACGTTGCAAACATCGTTTGAAGTCACTCAGGAACATGATAATGAAAGTTAGAATTCCATCGTAGTTACTAAAATATCAGGTATAACAGGTGTCTGGAATGGTCACAATTCACAGCTAATATTGGAACGGAATCTTGGGACCAAAATATGGCTATAGGACCAAACATGCCGTCATAAAATATTGATGTGGAAAAGAATGCAAGGCGTTGAAATTGATTTTTCTCGTTTTTTGTTGATAATTTCACTCCACAGGGTGTCCGTTTTACGAACACCACCATGGGCATCTCAGTTATTATAAGAGATACGAGGGCAAAGTTGCGAATTTTCATGCTGAAAATTTATCTTCAAAAAATTTTGATGTGTAATTTTCAGTTTTTCAATCATTGAAAGAGAACGACAATTTATAATTTTCGTTTTTGTTTTTTCAAGCAGAAACCGAGAAACCTACACGGAAAAAAAATTTGTTGCACTAACAAAATGATTTTGGTAATTTTTTTTTGTTGAATTAAACACAATTTTGCGAAATCAACAAGATATATGATCTTTCCAAATAAGCAACCTATTCATGGTGACAAAATAATTTGATTGAAATATCTGCTTACTTGAACAAAAGTTTCATTTCATTCAACAACATTTATAGTTGACATAGAACAAATTTTTTTAATCCAACTATTATCTCATTGTTCAATCAATCATATGCATTTTGTCTATTCGACAAGATTAAAATTGATTTTGACAAAGATTCAACTAAATACAACATCATATTTGGTTGAGTCAACAATCATTTGATTGTGCAACCAATCGAAGGTTTTTTTTCTATTCGACAAGATTGAATTGATTATGACAACATTATATTTTGTTGTTTCAATAGTAGAGCAGTTGGAGGAATTGGGGTGGAAATAATTTCCACAAGCCTCATTCGACCCCTTACACTGTATCAAAAATATAGATGCATTCTTTCATGCAAAAATGTTTTAATGCAACTTTTCATATTTCAGGTGCCCAAACCGAAATGATTGTTTCACAACTCAACACATGCTCCGCTACCTATGTTAGGATCTTCAGGATAAGATTCAAACGAATTTCATAATCTTCCTAAAAATGATAATATGGTTAGCAGATCTCAAAATTCGTGTCGAGGTGTGAAACAATCATTTTGGTATGTGATTGAAACTATTCTCTGTGATCGTGAATGAAAGGTTCCATTATTTGATATATCCATCCATATATATCCACGTATATCTGAATATAAAGAATTAAAAGCAGCCATGGAAGATAACGAATGTTTGTTATTTTCGTTAAGTTCTGATGATAGTTCGAATTGTGTTAAATTGACTGCTAAAGGTGTCCAAGGAATTATAAGTGCTAGCAAGTAGGAGCAAGGCGAAATAATTGAACTCTTGGAACCAGTGCCTATTCATCCTCTAATTGTTCACGTCGAATGTCGTCGTTTGTACGTAAATCCGAACAAGATGAAGAATGATCTCAGGTTTAAATCAGATCCTGATAGAGAAACATCAACTAGTAGCAGCAGCAGCAGCAGCAATAGAGCTTTGTGATCTGAGCTGCCGACATTCGCGTTCAAAGATAATTGCTTGTTTTGTTGTAGTCAATTCATCAAGGAAACTGGGAAAATAATTAAATCTACAATTTTACCAGTACGAACTTTCGCGTTTCGACAAACTATTATTGATGTGTGTGATGCAAGAAACGATTTTTGATCATCAAATGTCCTTGCACGTCTTCTTTCCGTTATCGATACTTGCCAGCAGCAGATGCTCTGTAGAATCAGAAATGTAGTGTGAATTTTGAAAAACACTACTCTATTCCAATGAAACATCAACATGATACTCCCAATAAACAGACAAAGTTAGCAGGACGTCCTTCTGATAAAAATAAAGAAGATGCCTTTTTAGAAATATGCAGGTAGCTCAAGAAAAATTATGAACCAATTTCAGTTCAGTAGTTGCTGGTACCAATACTTCAATCGAGGAAGTTGAAGATAATGAATGAACTTCTGTTACATGCCAAATATGCCATTTTCATTAGGTTTATGATTTAAACGTATTAACGAATAAACGAATATTGGAAACACTGTATTTTTATTTTGCACAAAGGTTTCATTCTATATTTTCTCATATGTGTTATTATATGCATACTGAACTGAGAAAAGCAAAGAAAAATCTTGTGGGAATTATTTCCACCTAAGACCATTTTTTATCGCATATCTACTACACTATAAGAACTCGCATCAAAATTTATTTTCTGACAAGAAATGCCAATACCAGCAACAGTATCTGACAGTTCAAAGCATACCCTTCATGAATGGAATAATATTTGGAATTACGATCCGAGATTCCGAACTGTTTAATTGCGTTTTTTCTCAAAAAAGGATGAATATATCATGTTCAAACCGAGACTTAAGTACTAATATCACGTAGAAATTATATTGATATTTCATAATCAAACTCACCAACAAACTTCGTCAAAAAAGAAACCAGTCGATTTCATCATTTCGAAATGTTGAATAATACATAAAATAATATTTCCTGTATGAAATTATGCCTTTTTTCCAATTTTGATACAATTGATGAATATACAGTGGACTTATTGGCGAAAAACGAAAATAAGAAGTCAACTTCAACGCCCAACACTTATTACATATATTTACACTTTTCATATTATTATTATCAAGCTGGTATTCAGATGAATCACTTCAAATGTCTCTTCTCCGCCTGCCTAAGAAAAGAATAATCATTCTACATCTGTATGAATTTTTTATTGACTAGAAATATTCACATTTTCAGAACTATATTATTGAATCCTAATAAATATGGCCTGTTATTTTCAAATGTGTATTGAAATTGCTCCTCTGTTTGAACTTTTTGCCGCAAGAGCACACGAATCTAGGTTCCATTCCACATTCAAAATGCAGATGCCTTATCAGGTGAGTTTTTTGTTTGTATGAAGTTTTTCCACACCTCTGACAGGGAAATCTACCATCGGAACCCACGGTGTATTTACTCAGTTTCCTTTGGTCTTGGAAAATATCCCAGTAATAGTCTGGAAAACCACATAGAGATTAATTTTCGGCAAGAAGTATGTAGATGAGATATAAAGATTGTTGATGTATATTTCATTCATGGCAATTTATTATTATTATTATCATAACATTCTGAATATTGACGAGGTGGTCAACACCTATGTCAATAATATGCCACCAATAGATGGTATCTTGATTTCAAGAAGGACATCCATTTTATATGAGTTTATTTCTTGATAAACACACCAACTCACCTTCAATATTCGATATCATTGATATATTTCGAGTATTTCTGAAAGATCACTACAACTTTCATATGGGCATATGAAGAAGGCAATATTAATTCCAGGGTTGGATTCCTCAGATCATTTTATGAAAAATGGTTCCAATAAATGTAGATTCGAAAATACATAATTTTCAAGATATATAGTGTTTAAATTTTTGTTTTAAATAATTTATGTTATGGAACTGCAACAGATTTGATAGATAGATAGATAGATAGATAGATAGATAGACATTGACAGACGAAATGATTGAAATTCGAATAACACCTGAAATTATTGTTGCAAGTGATCACTTTCAACAGGTTTTGTATATTTTTTGTATGATCTCTGGACATATGCAATGAAATAATTTTATTTTCTTGTCTAGTAAAGGGAGCAAGATATGACAAAAATCCATGAGACGAAAAAGTTGTAGTTTCAGTAGGTCTATCTTAAGGAAATATTGAAATTGAATCAAAGTTATGGTCGTGAATTTGTATCAATGGATTTTATAAAATTGCCTCATTCATTACTCCACTGTTTATAATGATTTCCATCTTGTTATGGCCAAATCACCATCTAATCACTAGAAACAATGCTGCACAACAAAATTCGTGAAAAAATATTTGAATTGATTTGGGAAAATATTATTTTGAAAATACTTCAACATCCTGTATTTCGGTAACAATGCATTTTCGGACCTACATTCATGGAAACATTTTTCATAAAATGATCTGAGGAATCACCGTATTAAGTATTACAGTGTCTTCCTCGAACATACCCTGTATATCTCCCTACTCTCAGTCGGGGTCAATAAAATGCACAATAGACTTGACAATGACATTTCAGCAAATGCTACAGATGCTGTTAGATAACCCAGTATACCTACCTACCTGAAAATTGGTGGTACTGAAAAATTGCATTGCATAATTAGTTGGGAGGTTGATTCCTTTTGGTGTATTATTCAAAAGTGTAAGTAACATTCCATTTTTTATTGAATTACAATGCAGATATTCATGACATTCAGTTTCAAATCCCTTCCAGTGAACTATCTACTTTCAAGTTTGGGTACTCACCTACACCAACCTAACATAGGGAAAGGAATAAATGTTGAATCAATCAATATTAAATTGCTTTCTTGGTTCTATTATCTATTGATTTCAGTACAACGATCACTGCCTTTTTGTCAATGATATTGAGAAATGAGAACAGTTATGCGGAGACTGAGGTATCTGAACTTGGCAACATATCGTGTTAGCGCCAGCATCATCTCTTCCTCTTGTTAACATAGTTGCCACATTAGCAATTCAATTCTCCAGGAATGATGGTACTTGAGATATAGCAACACTGTTCAATATGCTGATAATCACATAGTCAACAAAATCATAACATTATAACTCAAGCCAAACCATATAAAAAGCGCCTTTCTGTTAGATGCCTATATCACATTTCATCCTCGCTAATTTTTGAACAATTGGAATATTTTGAAGTTCAGAGTGAATTGATTGTGATCAGAAAAGAAATACCAATCAACTAATCACCTACGACATAGTAATTTCGAATCATGGCATTCCTTGTACCATCTTGCACATAAGATCAATTCAAGGATGTCATAAAGATCTGGCAACAACGGCGTGCTTCCCAGTCGTTACAAACTCCAACCAATCAGATTGCAAGGAGACGCTATGATATCACAGCTCAGTAGCGTTCGAGTTCACTGGTATTGAAAAGCCTTCTCAAGATTGAATAATCCATTTGTTAAGTCTCATGCATCCATGATTTGTAATGTAATGCTCACAGTTTCACTATAGTATGAAAAAATCCAAATATGAGAAGAATGGTCTGGAAAAGATACTCTAATTTTCCAATATAATCACAAAAACATAATTGGAACGTTTCATAATGTTGAAATAATATACACTCTCAACGCAATGACACCATCAATCAAGTCCAAAATATTTATTCAAAATTTGATTGATCATCCAGTTTCCGTATGATAACCAACTCCAGAAGACTTGCTCTCAACAATCAATTATTATCGTCAATTATTATAATGAGTAAGTACCTACGTATATCTTCTGTGAGTCTAGACAATAAAATTGAATCTAATTATTGTAATAGTTATTCCCTGAAGAAATAATTCGAACGAAGTTCAAAGTTATAAAATATATATCTACCAAATGAACATATTAAAATTTATCTTATCCAAACTATAGGAATTATAGTGAAGTCGAAATTAAAAATAATACTACTATCAATACGTCAAATCGCAAACTATCACGATACTGATATGGATGTCGTAATGGGTTATTTCACCGTACTAGTGCAGTGAAGTAGATTTGCCCAGGTTAAGTTGATTTGATTTTTCATTCATGTTGGTATAGATGCATTATTAGGCTACCCCTATCATCGGCAATAAAAGAACAATTTTTCCACATGCATTTGTACTTCTCAGGTTTCCTGATCAAGATGTGTGTATCTCCGATTCTTCCTTCATTATCTATCTTTACATCGCTTGTTCTGATTGGCCGTCGAGATTCGATATTTTTGTCGAATCCTGATGGGTCATCTGCAACTGAAGTAACTTTCATACACCGATACATAAACACAGAAAGATCCAAATAATCTGTTTGTTATTTTGTATGAATGATCAATCGGGATGCATCAATTCTACCTTGAATAATAGTTATTTATGTATTAAGGGAATTATGAGGGCCTTAATTACCGATGGCAATTGCCTGAGGTTATTGAGGCTCAGTAATTCCCGTGATACATATATAATTTTATTTCTGACTGATTTCATTCATTAGATACCTTTCCGATTGGAAGTTAGACATGTTTTTCCGTATAGTTTCAATGTCATCAGAACGTCAGATAATGATCTTGACTACCGCGAATAGGAGATTCCTTATTGCTACGTTACTGCGTGGTTGTTGCTATGCATTTCTTATTTAATTTTAGTTAGAGGAAATTATAGCATCTATAACATCCCAAGGGAGTTATGACCCTCATAATAGATATCGTAACTATGACGATATAAGCTTATAAGGTCACTGTCAGAAATAAAAGCATTTTTTGCACTCACGGAACAAAAATGTTCCGTTCTTTCAAGACGAGACTAAACTGAATAATTTCATAGCCAATCAATGAGATAATGACTGGAACTCGCCAAATTGAATTGCAACTGAGAGATGATAATATGTACGTATAAGTTATATTATTATAGAAAGTGCGAAATATTCTTAGTCAATACACAGTATAGTTGTTGCCCTTGGAAAACAATTCAATGAATAAAATTGGTAGTGTATTTTCAATGCTTTTAATTCTTTTTCAAACCAACGTGAAGATTGCAACTCTATGTCAGCATACATTTCTTGAGATTTGAGTCGTTCCCAACAAATTGAATTGTATTTCCAACTAAACAAGGTTTTTCATCATTGATAATTCATGAATGAATTTGGTCGAACCATTAGAGACAAAACTGGAACCAATCTTTTATGTCGAGAAACAGAGTACTCTCAAAATTTGGAACAGGTGATTCGAATACACCTTACTTCTTATAATGAAACACCCTTCCTACCAATTATTTCACTATATAGGCAACTGGATAATATTCTACATCTTGATTTCATGACATGGAATCTCAACAATACCTTGAATATCATGACATACCTACCAATTATTGAATGAGAATCAATAATTGGTAATTAATCATTTATTCATTATCAAATAATTCAGGATATTATTTTTGCCTGATGTTTGATCCATGAATTTTCATTAGGTAATTGACCATTTATACATTTTGGAACTTTCTGTGTATTAATAGATAAACCCCCTTGACTTAATGAAACACGTAAACAGAAAAAAATCTATAATATTAGACACGAAAAACAAGACAACACACAACATTTGACCATACAGTATATACTATAGGTATTCCATTAAAAACTTATACAAACATATAAATAACCCACAGACAGACATCCACGAATTAATTATCGAAATGACACCGTCTCTGTGCACAGCAACCTGACTGGGATTTGTTATTCCCTCCTCCTCTGTATTTTAGTCCTGTGCATTCAACCCACAAATCCCTTCGTCCGAGTGACAAACACAGCGTTTTACTGTCATTTTCGATTCAGTGAAACTACCGGATACGGTTGCGTTATTGCCAACGAAGTCTTGAGAAAGTTATGAGAAGCAATACACGCTTTTTAAATTCAATGGTGAAACAATGGAAAAGTGAGAACACCAAATGAAGAAGAAGTTTTTTGGCTCATTTCCTAGAAAGGTCTGGACCTTCGGGGCCAAAAACCGCATGGGCATGGTGGCTTTCCTATAATGAACCGACATAATGAGCTCGTTATGAGTCAAACTGTACATTCACGATAGCTGTTATACTAATGACAGTAGGTATAGAATATATTACTCTTGTTAGTTTTCCTATTTACATGAATTATGAAGTGAACGAAGCAATTAATTTTCTATATACGTTTGTAAAAAATTACGCACGGAATAAAAATCTCAGTTTTTGTGAAGCAGCTTGATGGTAAAGAGTAGTAAAGACAGACCATAGATATTCCTCGGCTCACAGATAAAAAGGATTTCTTCAATCAAACCAATCCATTTTCTTGAAATTAACAGTAGATTTTCGGGAAACTACCTTTTAACCCTTGTTTCCCTTTTGGAGAAAAAGAGGAGAAATTGAGTATCTCAAAAACTATTGAATTTTGCATATCAGGGTCAAATACATTCTTTACCACCTTCCCTATCACATCTCCGAAGGAATGTATCGAATTACCAGTAACCCTGTATAATAGGATGCGAGGAATAACGAATGATCATTCTATATAGAATCTCAATTGATCACTGAATGGTACAATATAGAGAACAGGTTTTATTGCTGGAATGAATTGATATCATTGATATTCGATTAAATAATTATCGATATCACGTTTGGTCACCTTTGATTGATGTTTATGCCACAAGTGCCTCTTCATATTGCTCTTG